CCCCAACATATTCCCAACATATCCCCAACACACCTACCATTCAAATTACAAATATTGGCACTATAACATAATTGAATTATTTTGAATCAACTGCCAATCTGAATGATTTGCGTTGACCTAAATGGCTTTTATATTCGACACGCCAGAAGATCGACGTATGAACTAGGCCTTACAGAAAGTGTTGTCAGTGTGTACACTGAAATAGACAGTTTTACAATCTCTACACGGATAAGGATGTGTTATATAGACTATACATATTGAATTTTTACACCTGTACAGTTTTCATAGGAACAAGTCGTGCTGGGGAATACATGAAAGAGAATGTTTAAAATCAACTTATTTAACACAACTTATAAAAAATTATCAGGTAAAAAATGATTATTTTAGATTTTTTTTTTTATTTGTATATGGAAAATACAAACAGGACGACACCTTGATGTATGTAGTATGCCTGCATATTTGTATCTAAATGACATTTATGAGATTCATATACATACCTAGACGCAAACTATGATTCAAGATCTGCAGACTTGTTTAAAGAGGCATTCTATTTTTAGGTTGGTCGAAAAAAATATTTTGCTCAAATTTATGAAAATTATAAAACAAAATCCAAAGAAATGTGTCCCTGATCTTGCCTGAAAGTTATAACTAAAACATTCCTGCCGTTGATTTGTTCACGCCAAATCTATTTAAAAGGTTGGCGTAAACTAAGTCCGTTATGCTTATTGTATGGAGAAATATGTCCTCTACGTATTGTAAAGGTTTCTACTAAAATATAATATTTTAATAATATTGCTTAATTAACAATTAGTACACTCCCGTTTTAATTAACCCTCCTAAAACAAATTCAGTTTGATCAAGATAGATACATAGATGTAATAAGTATATTTTAGAAATATATTCAGGTATTCTTTATCATGAAAGATTTGCATACTGTCACTTCAACATTCATGAATTATACCTCATTCAGCTCATAATCTATCAACGTTTTAAACTTAACACTGGATTACTAAAATGAAACATGCACTCACACTATATTAAAAATCAATTTAAATAGAAATCCCTTCTTTCCTTAATAAATCTCTGCATTCGCTCACAAGCCAATTTAGTTTTACCTAGATGTAAACTGGAGGCAATAAAATGACAGTCACTTTACACAATTCATTTTCGTCACTTGCTAATTTTAAAATGAGGTCTAAAGGGCCAAATAGTTCTGTTAGTAAGTCAATCAGAAATAGTGTTAACAGCTCAACGTCAAAATTCGAGCCTTCAAATCCAGAACTATCAGTTTAGAATACGGCTCGCCTTTTTTTTCATGTATAGAAATAATGTTGAAGGAATTATTCTAATTGTAATACCCTCCACCCCCTATAAATCCTTACTATTAGACAAAGACTAACCTCCACATCGTGTTACAGTGTAAATTCTTGAGACGTTATGTAACATCAAACTAACCACAACATTGTTTGTGAAACGTGTAAGTTGTTAAAACGTTATGTACAATAAAATTCAGGAGTGTAAATTGTTGAAACGTTGGGTATAATAACACATAGGATTAGTTAACCATACATTGTGCTAGAGTGTAAATTGTTGAAACGTTGTGTATAATTAGTAAATCATAACAGTGTGCTATAGCGTTAATATTTAAAACGTGTAAAACAGAGTAAATCAACTTAAATAATAGCCAAACTAAAATTAAATGTGATCAAAACAATTCACTGATTGATTGAAATTCAAATGAGTTTAGAATATAACGACTAGACCTTCTAGAATATCAGTCTTACAATCAATAGAGGAAAAATATTTGGATAGTGAGAAAATATAATATCTTATGATTATGGATTATAAACACACTTCTATTGGTGTTATTTTCACATATTTAATAGGATGAATATTTGTAGTTTCCCATTCCTTTTTGTACACCCATGATAGTTTTTGACGATTGCTTCACGTCGCTAGCGCTTTGCTCTGTGATAAGCTGATAAGTTATTTTAAAGGTTAACTAGTTCATTCTGGAACTGTTGTTCTATTCCCCCATTATTAATCAAAATCCCCTCCCCCCTCCCCCTCTCCCCGTGTATAATTCACCCCCAATTCTCTCTCATTCCAATTTTCACATTCTTTTTTATTTAGAATGGGTTGCACTTGGACTCTGATGAGAACCACTGTCCTAGAAAAAAATTAATAGCATCAAGTCAAATTAGACCTGCTGTAGTATTGTGTTTTGAGTCTTTAAGCTATTAAACACACAGGATACTAAAAAATGAAAGCTGTAGTAATCTGAGATTCCGCTTTTTGTGGGTCGAATTTTTTTTTAGCTCAAATTTGTGAAAACTATACACCAAATTCTAGAGAAATGAAAGTTTTGAGTAAAAAAACCCATCCGTCAATTTTTTAAAGGCCAAAAATATTTAAAAAGATTACGTGTCCCTGATCTTGCCTGAAAGTTTTAACTAAAAAAATCCTGCCGTTAATTTGTTCACGACAAATCTATTTAAAAAGTTAGCGTGAATTAAAGTTCTGTATGCTTATTGTATAGAGAAATATGTCTCCTACGTTTTTTAACAGTTTCAACTGAAAGTATAGAGTTAATATAAAAGCAAACACAAAAACTAGGTCAAACTAGTTCAGTATTATTAGTATTAGTATTCTCCGTTTTTTATTAACCATTTCAAAACAAATTATGTTTGATCAAGAAGATACATAGATATAATATTTAAGAAAGGTTTTCAGGTATATTTACGACGTTTTTTGATGATGAAACCTTTAAACAGAAAAAGCAGAATACCCCTTTAAACAGTTGAACTAGAACTGTGCGTTAATTAACTACCACCACAGTGAGTCTAGATTGAAATTTTAAACCATGATAGTTTTTGACGATTGCTTCACGTCGCTAGCGCTTTGCTCTGTGATACGCTGATAAGTTATTTTAAAGGTTAGCTAGACTCTCAATACTAGATTTGATGGTTGATATTTGATTTCATACAAAAATGTCAAAATGTGATTCCGTAAACATTGTGGTCAAATTTAATTGAAAAATATATCTGGTGTGTATCCTTTAATTACCTCAAGTGCAACATGTAAAGGAAAAACTGTCTAAAATAAAGTGTCCAAAACCCCCCCAAAATAATGGACACTTTTAAAAATAATGGACAGTTAGTGAACAGTGTCTACCAGATAATGGACAGTTAGTGAACAGTGTTTACCAGATAATGGACAGTTAGTGAACAGTGTCTACCAGATAATGGACAGTTAGTGAACAGTGTTTACCAGATAATGGACAGTTAGTGAACAGTGTTTACCAAACAATGGACAGTTAGTGCGTATTACTAACAACACTCTTAGATAATGGATAATGATGGCGTAATAACTATTATTTAAGTAAGATAAAGCACCCAAACTGTCTACTAAGCCAAAGAAGAGGCTACGCCCCTCACACTATCCATTCTGTGGCTTTATAGACAGTTTGAATAAATAAAACGAACTATAATCTGCTCTTCAATCATGGTCATGTTCCATATGAATCAAATATTTTTATTAAAATTAAAAAAATATATGTATAAATATTATAAAAATAAAACGAAAATTTGTCTTTATGATTTCAGGAGTTATAGTTTTTCTGGTATTTGTGTTTGTGGCCAGTGTCTACAGATACTATAGTTCGACTAAGCTATGGAACGGAAGGTAATAAATAATTATTATCAGACATACATTACAATCAACAAGTCAAAATCAATGTCAGTTACACGCGAAATGAGTCTTATAGCTATCCTGGATGTGTAGACGGTTACCACTTGAAGCAAAGTTATTTTTGTTTTGCCACATCTCAAGAAACAACGGTCAATGCCAGACAAACCAACACTAGCCGCATTATTCCCACCAGACACGCCTTAATGTTGACCCCACCAAAGGCTTTGGCAAAATTGACCGGTGCACCTTTAATGTTACAAGACATAAATTTATGAGTAAACCGTAGATAAAGTAAGTGCTTTCTGTCCACCACAATACACGCAGCATTGCTTGACTGTATAAATTCAGTTGCACATTGTCGTACAATCATTCGGTAATTCTCGGAGGTTTATGTTAGCTCAATCTGACTCGTTAATGAATGGTGAATTTCGTTGTGTCTTCTTAGGCGAGACTCTTTACTTTCGGTATATTCAGTATTTCAGTATGTCTCGTGATAGTAAATAAAGTCCTACACTTTAGAAACTTACATCTGAATTAAATGTTATATTTTGACTATTTGTTTTCCAATGATACATTTTATTACCAGTTTGAATACATATCTTACGGATGTTTTGTTTTCATTGATATTTAAATTACCAGATTCACGTGATAACTGATCACGTGACAATATTGACATAGTTTGAATAGTAAATGTATTTATGCAGTGAGGGAAAATCTCATCGAGGATGCTGTAACGACTTATCTGTGCTTGTTTGTTATTCCAGTTTACCAGTGCCTCTTGCCGATGTTAATGGACATGATATCCAGGTCGCCGACAATTCAATGAAGTCAATGTTTTGGGAACATTTGTTCGAATTTAAATCCACATGCGAGTTACCTGCGTTCAAAACAATACAGCAGTGTGAACAAATTAACAAACGAGGTGGTCCCTGTTCATACATGTGTCGGTGTTATTTTTATAAAACCGGCGTTATGCCCGGCAAATACTCGAAGCCATTGGTGCTTCCAAAGCAAGATATGGCCAACATCGAAGCGATCACATTGCACGATTCGTACATTCATAACATTACCAATACACCCAGTGCTGAGTTGTCTAAGTTATCATTTCTAAACCCACGCCAAAAGCTTGTCGCTGGTGATACGTTTAAGGTAGTCATTCAGGTGATTGATAGAGCAGGAAAACCACGACGTGTCGGTGGAGATGATATCAGAATATGGATGGTTTCTGCTAACAAAGACCGCGGTTTGAAGATAGTAGGTGATGTCGTAGACGTTTCAAACGGAACATACGTCGCATCTATAAAAGCTTTATGGGACGGAAGATCTGTAATATACGCCAAGATAGAGCACTCCAGGGAGGAAATTGCGACCCGGCTCAGGTGGCAGCGTCAATATCGCACTCTCTACTATCATGGAGGTATATTCACGAAGTCTAAGCTGAAGGAAGAAACCGCATGTAGTTTCTTCAGACAGAAAGCTGAAGTATGCAACTTTACTGTGTTAAATGGTGGGTTTCCTTGGTATTGTGAAAAACCATCCAACCCAAAGTTAACGTGTGCAGATATAGATAGGTTTGATGAGCTAGGTTACACACCAACCCCTCTTACAGACATTGAGATGAAATTGACACAAAACAGGTAATAATTTAATCTCAATAGCTCAGTGGGATATGCACTCACTTTTAACAACCCGACATCACTTTTGGAGAGTTATAATAATATATACTCGTTAAAAAATAAGCATTTGGTATGTGTTCAGCATGGGCACACTGTAGAATGAGAAATCGGGTGAACGTCCATACAGAATAGTAACTTCTATTCCGCAAGGGATCTTTGCAGATAGATAACCAGTTCTCAGTATCATAGATTTATTGAGAAGAAAACGAGGTAAAAAGCTGAAACAAACATAAAACACAATGTTACACATACTGACAATACAAAGGCTAAACAGTTCTCATATTGACTCAATATAACGGTAAGTTATGCAATGAAAACACTCAAAATATAGCGATGTTTACATAAAATACTTGCTCAGACTGTCACTCCAAAAACCATCAAAGTGCACTTTATCGGAGAAATATCAATGCATAATACAAAAATAATCATTATAGAACACAATCCTACTCACACTTTGGTTTACTAACGATGGATGACATAGAAAAAAGGTGGATTGAATCCAAAACAATAAAAGCAACAACAGTCTGATTTCTACCGAAAATAGAAAGTGAAAATGAAAGTAGACTAAATATTGATCTTTTATCCGAAACGAAATTTACCAAAATAAGTTTGAAAACGATAATTAACTATAACAATGTTACAGAAATATATTGAAAGTTGTTAAGCATGTGATAATATTATATAATGACAGAAACATAAATAAGGAGACGGCACAACTTCTTATATACCGGTTCTATGTTTAATTTGCCATTTCAGTCTCATGTGTTGTATGAAAGACATTCTCTATCAGTCTTTGACATAGAACAATCTGATTTTATATGACACGTTATTAAAGGATTACTTCTTCTTAGAATTGAGATAAAATTTAAAGACTCAAACTTGGTCAACAAGTGTGTGTATTCATCAGTCAGACTGACCAGGTGCCACGACTACAGAATAAAATCTCTTTATAGCAGATATATCCAAAAAAGCTAAGTTATTAGTTAAACGCGTTTCTAAGTGTGTTTCAAAATTAACTAGTTTACTGGATTATTACTTAGTTTTATGGATTCATTGAATTAAAGGG